TGGGTCGCCATTTTGACCTGTTTAGACTTACTATCGGAACAGGAGTAAATGGTAGTGTCATCAGTGTAGATACCAAGTTGATAGCTGATGCAGCCGAGAACGTCCTTAATGAAATTTAAAAACAAAGTAGGATCGTGGAAGGAGCCCTGGGATTACCCGCATTAGTACGAAAGTATCTTGATCAGTGGCCGTTCAGAATAACTTTCATTTTATGATTTGATAGGAAGGATTGATCAGTTCAAATATTTGTCCGATAACATTTTGACTTTTCAGCTTGTGGAGGAGACCTGTATGACAAACCCTGTCGAAAATCTAATCTGCAGCCTGCTCTTCTTATCTAAAGCATGACAGAATCTTTTTGCAATAAACATCAGTACATCAGCAGTTGACCTGGAGAAACGAAAGCTATATTGCTTGTCTGAAAAAAGGTTTTATGATAAGAAATGATTAACCAATTCATCATTGATATATATATATATATATATATATATATATATATATATATATTTTTTTTTTATAAAAAAATTATAACATAAGTATGTTATAAAATCACTACAAAAATAGCCATTTTGTTTCAACACACTCTGTGTCTTATCAAGTGATGATGTTGAAAAAAATTTTTGTAGTGATTTTATAACATACTTATATTATAATTTTTTTATAACATACTTATGTTATAATTTTTTTTTATAAAAAATAATTATATCTGCTCTACTTTGTATTGAGCACTCTTTTAAGAATAGTAATTGTTGGTTATTGGAATTCATTCCGTATATACCAATTATATACTTGTATATAAATATATTTTTTTTTCTGTAGTTCACTGCTACCAGTAAGCAGAAATATTTCTTCTCCTGATGATGGCCATTTTGACCGAAACTAGTCGAGGAATCTAAATGAAATAATAATAAAAAAATGAAAGAATATTAATCTACAACCCAGTGTGTCTGAAGATTTTATTTTTTTAAATATTTTTTTAATATTTTTTTATTGTTCAATATATATATATATATATATATATATATATATATATATATATATATATATATATGGTTTTTATTTTAAGTATGAAGCAATAACGTCGGAGGGAATTACTATTTTACATAGACGAAAGATTGATTGGAATATTGTTCATTAGTTGAAAAAAAAAATTTAACTAGATTGAAGTCATTTTAAAATATTTTTTTTTACTATAAACTCTTTCATCGATATATGCAGTATGTAATCAGCGGTGGAAGATATCATTGGTTTAACCTCGACCATGTGCCACATTCGGTAGCGAAATTCATGCTGTCCCTCACAGTCCATAACCAAGAATCCAGTTACACAAGCACGTTATGCGCGTTACTCTTTGTTCCCCTCTTCCATTCTTGTCTTTCAAGGAAAAAGGGAAAATTCGTTAGAGAAGAATACTGAAATGCTATCTAATATAAATCCTCCTATATGGCAATGAATGCCGAACAATTTCCTCACAAATGAATGCCGGACAATTTTCCTCTCAATCTTGAGGTAAACAGTGATCTGATTCTACAGAAGGATGCTGACAATGCCACCGAAGAAATATATGAGTAACCTGGAATTTTTCTGGGAAAATGCTAACAAAATTGCAGTTAGAAACAGACAATTGAAACTACTTAGACACTTCATGGGAAAAGGGATTAGAGAATACAACACTCACAGGGTATATTTAATTCACTACTGGGTTTAATTTAATTCTTTATTGTTGTCACCAAGTAAATGGTTAAGAAATAATAACACAATAAGTTGCAGATTAATCGTGTATTGATCAGTAAATACAACAGAAGTGTGTTACATGATTTGGGAGTGTGTGTCGGTTGACCAGAGTTCAGTCTATATCACTGTTAATATTTAACCTCCCCCACTACGAGGGATGTATGTGGTACAAAGCCGAGTTTACCGTGGGTTCTCCGAGCCCGTAGACTCGGCCAAAAATATTCCTTTAGAACCGGCATAAACGGATTCAGGGTCTGTCTATCTCCCCGGACGAAACTTTGCCCTTCGGCACAGCTTCGCCCGGGTTCCTTTCTGCTCAATGCAGAGAGTTCGACAGTAATGAACAGGCTATAGCACTGTTAATATTTAACAGTCCCTCCACGGGGGATGTATGTGGCCTAAGACCGAGTTTACAGTGGTTTCTCTGAGCCCGTAGGCTCGGCCAAAAATACTCCCATAACACCCGCCTAAGCGGGTCCGGGTCTGTCTACCTCCCAGGACGAAACTTTGCCCTTCGACAAATCCTCGTCCGGGTTCCTCTCTGTTCAAGGGTAGAGAGTTCGACAGTTCCCCCGAGGCTTACTTTCCTACTAATGTTATAGTAAGTGGAAGAGTACACAATAAACTCATTAGAGGGAAAACACCACAACAACTGCTTGTATCGTTCCAACTGAATGATGGATAAATCTGCATCCAACATTTGGATTACCACGTAGTTAAGGATAAAAACATTAGCAAACACTATCAACACTGTAGAGATAACACAATTATTATAACATGTTTTGCATGCTAAAAAGGCATTTTCGTGTTGTATTTAAATTAATTTTTTTTTTCTGTTCTATGAAAATCAATTTAGAAAGAGATGATTTCGTTTCTATCATTGTACTTGCCGTAGAATGCTTTTGCTTGGGTCAGTTAACATTTGACCAAGAAAAACCATCACGTGATCATTTAAGACATCTAAAAGAAAGCAAAGAATAAACAATTACAATGAAAACGGACATTTGGAAGACAATCCATCATATTAGAAAAGAAACGCTAAATACGATTTCTATTGTTAATGCTGTGATTATCAAACACTGTAGAGTTTGTTTTTTTGCAACGATTAAAAGCGTCAACTTCCTTAATGTGGTTACGTTTGTTTCTTGATTTGTATGAAAAGACTTAAAGGGAAAAAAAAATCATCAAATTAAAGCAATATAAAATCTGAGTGAAAATTGTTAGACAATCGCCTTTTTGTGTGTGATGAGCATGGCCACTGTTGCAACAACAGTCGGAAGAAGAAACGATTTTTATGCCACTGTTCTCTTTAACTCTTCATGTTTCAATTCAGTTTAGATGGAGCCTATACAGAATAAGGAACACCATCACGTTGATCAGTTACTTTTATATAATTCCGTTTGGCCATTAATGAAACAAGTATCATAGATTTCTAAATATATTCCTGTATTCCAATATGGATGCTTTTGTATAGAAAGACGACCGACATGTTCTCCAGTAAATTGTTGAACACAGAGTTGTTCATTCAATTCTTCTCATAGAAATGTTGTCGCAATGTGAGTTGTACACATTGCCTCATTAACTACGGTAGTCGCTATTATTATATTATTAATCCAAATGATTAAAACCTTTCTTCAGTAATTTTTTTTCTATTTTCCTACAGATATTATTAACCAGAACTACGGGCTTATGCGAGCATTACAACAATTGCAAGTAAGATGAACAGCTTGAGATACGAATTACGAATTAGAGATACTGAAATCAAGTAAGTATACTATTTTAAATGTGTTCTAACAGAGGAAGAAGTATGTGACACCGAAAGCAAAATGGCAGAGAATGTTGGGCAATATACGCGCAGCTGAAGAAGACACTTGAGCTAACAGGAATGTGGTTCTCCAGAAGGATGTTAAGAAAGCTATGGACTGAATATGTAAGGAACGAGAGAGTTTTAAGAAAAATGGACACAAAAAGGAGTCATTTACTTAGAATCAGAAGGAGGCAGTTGCAATTTCTTGCACACATAATGAAGAAAGAGCGCTTCGAGAATCTGACACTCAGAGGACATATTAAAGGTAGGAAGGACGGAGGAAAATAGCAACTAGCCTACTTAATGAACTTGTGTAAATGATTAACAAAACATGGATTGGGATAGGATGAAAAACAAACCTTACTAAGACTTATGGAAATTGTGGAGAGCAATTATCGATCACTGCCTGAAGGGACACAACAACAGCAAATAATAATAAAAAAAATTATAATTGTTATTCTTATATTCATATAATAATAGCCCCTTGAAAAGAAATAATTGGCTAAAAGTATTTGGGACAATGTGTAGACTCTTATTCCTTCCAAAACAAAAACTGTAAGAACATTCTTCTGTGTGTCGTGTCTCTTCAAGTCGTAGGCGATCATGGCTCTCCATTATTTCCTATCTTTTGTAGCTCTTGATAAAATTTATCTTTTTGTTATCTTTTCAAAATTCTCTTCCGATATCCATTTACGCGAGCTCACTAAGTAGATTATGCGATGTTTTCTTCAATCTTTCTTGCCTTCAAACTGTTCTGTGAGTATCAGATTCTCTAAGCCGCGTTTCCTCTAGAAATTTCAACTGTCTTCTCCTCATATTAAGTATAAGTTTACTTTTTGTTTACATTTTCGTCGTTCGCATATTCGGTCCATGGTGTCTTACTCATTCTTTTGTAGAGCCACATTTCTGTTGCTTAAAGTCTCTTATTCGTGCAGCCGTGTACAGCATCCCCTGCCGTATAGGAGAACAAATACTACGTAACATTTCAGTAGTCTTTTTGTTTCTAACAGAATTTTTTTTTTTAGAAAAACGTATAAGATTTTCCATGTCTATCACATTTAATGAAACTTAGATAATAATATACTTCGTATTAAAAGAAAAAGCCCGCGTTAACTCTTAACTTTAATAAGCCCTATATTTTCTTATTTACAGCACACAGCTGACAGAACGCCGACACTTGTTCCAGCGTCCGGTGTTTACTCGTTTATTCTCTACCGTCTTAAATATTTAATTAGTTAATGGATAAAATTAATGAATCGTATAGTGGAATGATAGTAAGGTCAGAGAGCGGAGATGAAAAGCGAAAATATTACTTAATACCGAATTTAGATACAGTTCACCTAAAAATCCTTTCTTAAATCTTCCTGCCGCCAGATTTTTCCGTGAGATAAAATAGGAGAAAGAATAATATTTTGAGAATGGTAGATATTTTTTTTTTCTTTTCGAATATTTCCCCGATATGCACATCTATATTTCTGTCTGTTTTTCTTTTTCTCTCCTTCCTTCCTTCCTTCCTTCCTTCCTTCCTTCCTTCCTTCCTTCGTTCCTTATTTCCTTCAGTCCTTCCTTCCTTATTTCCTTCATTCCTTCCTTCCTACCTTCCTTTCTTCTTCTTTCCTTCCTTCCTTATTTCCTTTCTTTCTTTTTTTCTTTCTTTCCTCCTTATTTCTTTCCTTCCTTCCTTTCTTTCTTACTTCCTTCCTTCCTTCCTTATTTCCTTCATTCCTTTCTTATTTCCTTCCTTCCTTTCTTATTTACTTCCTTCCTTCCTTCATTCCTTTCTTATTTCCTTCCTTCCTTCCTACCTTCCTTTCTTTCTTCCTTCGTTCCTTCCTTATTTCCTTTCTTTCTTTCTTTCTTTCTTTCTTCTTTTCTTCCTTCTTTTCTTTCTTCCTTCCTTCCTTTCTTATTTCCTTCCTTCCTTATTTCCTTTCTTTCTTTCTTTCTTTCTTTCTTTCTTATTTACTTCCTTCCTTATTTCCTTTCTTTCTTTCTTTCTTTCTTTCTTATTTCCTTCCTTCCTTTCTTTCTTCCTTCCTTCCTTCCTTCCTTATTTCCTCCATTCCTTCCTTCCTTCTTTCCTTCCTTCCTTCTTTCCTTCCTTCCTTCCTTCCTTCCTTCCTTCCTTCCTTCCTTCCTTCCTTCCTTCCTTATTTCTTTACTTCCTTCCTTATTTCCTTCTTTAATTACTTCCTTCCTTCCTTCTTTATTTCTTTACTTCCTTCCTTCCTTCCTTTTTCTTTCTTTCTTTTTTGCGCCCACTTCTTTCTTTCTTTACCTAACTTCGAAATCGGAATTTTCATTATTGAGGCTTAAAGTCCTATCACGTAAAAAAACACCGATTAAGCAACGTCAAACCTGTTCAGTACGTAGATGGGTGACTGTTGAGAGAGAATACCAGGTGCTGTAGGCTTGGATGTGCGGTGGTGCAATGTATAACGATTCTAAATTATTAACCGAAGAGCCGATTTCCTTATATTTACTTACGCGCAAATACCGTCGGGAGAGGTATGAATCCACCACTTCTCCCCCACCCCTAGCTAGGGCTTACTTAGTAGGACTTCGAACAGTAAATCATGATTAGCTCCAAAATTTTCCGGCTATATATAACATGCAAAATGTTGATAAGACGTAAAATATGAATCAATCAAAAAAATATCTTTATTGTGTATGAAAAATTAAGAGTTGCAAATAAGAACTTTATGCTGTTGAAATAATTTATTTTGCCCCCATGAATTTTGTTGTCTTCATTTCTGAGCAGTCTGTCATGGCACATGATACACGTGAAAAAATTAATTAGGATGACAACAAAGTTATAAAAATAAAATTAATGTAAAATGTATACTCCACCTTCAGAAACTTGTTTTAGAAGGCATTCATCCATTGTATTACAGGTTGTCTTCGTCTAACAAACATATGCAACTGTTCGACTTTATGCCCATGACCGCGAATTGGTATCTCCGGCAATCTGATCACGACTGTTACTAGTGCGGCACCGTGAGGTCTTTCCATCTTGGTGTACGGCAATTTCCGCTCCAGAAGCCGGCAGCGCTAGCATTCTCTAGCGAGCCTCAAGCTCAGTGTTAGGACAGCCTCGGCACAACACATTGGTGTACGTTTGTGTATTTTTGAGTTTTTCTCTCTCCCATCCACCGCCCTAAAAAAAAAAAAGAAAAAAGAAAGAAAAATCACTACCAAGAGAAAATTGTCTTTGTTTACTCTTCAACCTGCTAAAAAGGAAAGAAAGACTATTGATTTCGACACTAAAATGACGAAAATTACGCAGTAAGAAGGGAGAATGAAAGGGAATGCGATCGTACGTGATCTGAAGTTATGCCACTCTATTGCGTCGAAGATAACCAGGGACAGCGAAAGAATCTGGAATGCTTCTTTTGTGTTTGTATTGGCATCTTTTGCAACTAAAATGTTATCTGCACCTGTATTTTTGGTTCTTTGTAAAGCACGAAAAATATAATTTAATATTAAATCACTAAATTGGCGTAAACCTGATGAAAGTAAAAATAAGAAACAAAACAACGTGTAGTGAAATGATACAAATGGTGTAAAGCGTAAAGAAGCCGTAGAAATTCTATTAGGTTGTCTCACATGAAATGAAGCATTTTTTGGTTGGTTGTTGATCCGGTCGTCTAACGAAGTAATCTCCTTAGTATAAAAAAAATATTGATTTATTTCTGACTCATTTTCTTTCCATATAATGTTTATTTCAATATATAGTTACTCGTAAGTCCAATGAAAATGATTATAATGAAACAATGTCTAATAATCTTACTGCCTGAGTACAAACTGGGAAAAAGAACCGCGATGAAGAATGGATACTCTTTGACAAGAATAAGAGCGTTAATCAGTGATTAGATGCAAGTGAATCACCAAAACAATACCCAAGACCTTCACTGTACCCTAAAAAACTTAATTGTTACTATATATTGGTCTTTCATTGAGGTTATTCATTATTCATTCTTGCCTCAAGGGAAAACAATGACAGCAACTTCCTACTGCGGAGAGTGTATGCACGAAAAATTGAAAAAGAAACACCCTGGGATTGTGAATAGAGATGACCCAATTTTGCTGCACGGCTGTACGTTTCTCAATCAACTGACTAAAAGCTGCATAGCTTAAATTATAAAATGTTGCCTCATCCTCCATATTCACTTGATATCTCTCTTACTGATTATCACTTATTTTAGCATTTTGAGCTTTTCATACGCAATAAAACACTCTCCAATTAGGAAGAGGTAATCGAAGCATTTGAACTGTTTATTGTTGAAATATTTGGGTACACTGAACTAGTGAGCCAGCCAAAATGAGCTGACTCATTTTATAGTTCACCAATAGAAGGCTTAACCAATCAGAAGGCTCAAAATATTCAATGCGACGTGTATAAAAAGGCCACGTTTTTTTCCGAATATTCCCTGGCAGCCTTTGATATCGCTGACTGAAGAATTGCAGAACAGCTGCTGCTGGTATTGGCGATATAGGCGGATTCAGTAGAGTCTCTGACTCGAGAGTATTAATCTTTAACGTTGTTTTATTGAACAGATTACGTACTGCGCTGTATTCTATATTCATAGACTATGGTGAACATGGTTAACATTTATCACATCAAAGGATGTGATTTTTTTTAAGATGGCGTCAAGAATTTAGAGGTACGTTAGAGAACAGTTATTCATAAACATGGTGCCTATTTCAACAAAATAAATTAGTTATTTAACATTTCAGAAGCATTTCATTCATTTCCTATAAAGTGCAACATTTCATGTGAGACGACTTAATACAATAAAAAAAAAATAATTATAAAATAATGCCTAAAGAAAGATAAAAAGATTACAAAATTAATTACAAAACGACTTTACGACCTGCCGAGCGTAACCAGTCGTAGACGTAAGTCGTAAGTTCGTTCATACGAAACAGACTGAAAATAAATCAGAAATTAATTTTGGCTGGTAAATTGCAATCCATCACTGCAAACGTTCTTTTTCAGAAGCTTTCAGTCGCATAACGCTGGCAAAAACAAGACAGAGAACTTCAAACGAACATTTTCTTCAGATATTGCATTAGTTCTCTTTGCCTAATATGATAAGGCATTATCACGCGTATCATCTTCCCGGTGAAATCGTTTGGCTTCTTCTTGAACAATGGTTTTACGTGTGCCTTCACATTTTAATGCTTGTCTGAATTGTTGATTCAGAAGCATCTGGAACTCACTACTATTTCACTCTTCATAAACCAACCGTAACACTTAACATCACATCTGTTTTGCTGACATCTCAACTAGTTTCCACCAGTTAACACTCATTATTTGCTACACCTATTTAGATCACCTGGAGTAGTATGGCATTTACCACTTAATTAATAAGCAATGTACGTGTAGCATAGCGGTTACTGGCAAGACGAATTCAGACTGCGAATAATTCTGTTCACGTTAGTACAAATGCCCTTGGGAAAGAAATGCATCTAGCTTTAGTCTCCCAGCTGTGGGTTAAATAACAGTGTATACTGAATTTACTAGCCTTGCGTGGGAGCTAACGATACTAAGGCCAGAAGAAGGAAAACCTTAAATTTTAAACAGTCTAGAAGGCAACAGGAAATTACTAAAGAAATGACAATTCACAAATAATAAAGAATAAATTATGGAGAGCCATGTACGCGGTGAAGAGACATTTCATGTAATAACATACGATATTAAAAGTCTCCCTATCCTTAGCGATGAAAAGGAAAACCAAGATATGAACCATTAAAAAAACAAACAAAAAAAACAACGGATTAGGTCGTCAAGATAACCTACTACGTGATATAAATAGATTTATGAATAGGTTTTTGTGGTGAGCCATGATCGGCATTTAAAATAAATTACAACTCGGCGTCGTATGCTTTTCGACCCATTCTTGTTCCTACAACACCTAAAACTTTGATAGCTAAAAAACAATCCTTTTCTGTTTTCCATCAGTATAGCTGATGGTAAACTCCAGGAAAGTGACTCGTTGCGCCTTCTTGCACTAACATTCTCGGCTGACATGAACTGGAAAATTATATTGAATCCATTGCTGGGTCAGCTGTTAAGAAAGTTGGTTCACTCAGTCGTGCTAGACAGAATTTATCGTCAATACATCTAAGTCCACCATTCGCGTATGATTTGAATAGAAAGGGTGTCTCATTAAGACGCATAAAAGTCAACAGTAAATAAATCAGTGTTATTGGTGAACATTTATTTATTTCTCTATTGGATCATGTTATTAAAGTCATGGCAATTAAGTGTGAAAGGTAATATCGTCCAAATGTCCACCAAGGCTTCGGCGGCACACATCAAAACTTTTGTTATAGTGGAACACACCTATACTATAGTTAATAGACTCCCCCACCTATAATAAGTAGGAGTAGTAAGAATAACAGGAGTCGCTCAGTGGGTGGGTCTGAGATCAGTCTGAAGTCGGACGACCGGCTGACCGGTTGAACTCTCAGCCTTCGGGCGGGGAGGAACCCGAACGAGGCTACGCCGAAGGGCAGAGACTCTTTCGGCGAGGTAAACCGACCCTGAACCCGTTTATACGGGTTTTAAAAGGGCATATTTTTGGCTGAGCCCACGGCTCGGAGATCCCACGTTAAACCGGCCTTGTGCCATATGATGCCCTCGTGGTGGTGGTGGTGGAGGGTGACTGAATATCGCTCAGTGGTTCGGTCAGTCGGTCGATGTCGGACGACAATTAGTCGAATACGAAAGTATCAGCGACCACAACTAGATTACTCTGCGTTATACCTATTATATCAAGTTCCTAACGTTTTGTACGTCGAACCTATTTTAGGACCGGCTTAGTACCAATACAAGCCTCCACTGTGAAATCACTCCACAACAACTTTTGATGACATCTATACTTAGTTGCTCTTCGATCTCACCAGTATGCCTTATTATCTCATCTTTCAGCTGTCGAATTGTTGTTGGCTTTTTGGAATAGACCTTTATTTTGAGATGACCCCAAAGGAAGAGTCGCACCACGTGGTAGCCAATTGACTTAGCTGTTTCGAGAGATGATGCGACATGGTACTTCTCTTTCAAATTATGTTCAAACGTCCATTTTCGTAATAGTCTTTGATAACTTTAACACGTTGTTTGATTGTTAATCTTTCCATGGTTGAAATTGCCAAAGACTTACGTTGTTAAATCTGAAAGAAAAAGAAGAAAATCATTAGACGCTTAAACTTAGTTAACATTTAAAATCGGTCCAAGTTATTGTAACACCCTTTATGAGGAAAAATTAAAATTAACAATAATTAATTAATATGCTTAACTAAGGAAGCAGACAATGTGTTGAGATGTTGGGAGTGTTCCGCGTGTGTGTATTCACAAAAAAACAAACACAGATGTAGGGAAAAATACTGGTATATTTGAAGAGGTATTTAACAACAGAGTGATTAGTAATAACGAACGCAGATTAGTAATAACAATAAGCAAGAGTCTAAAGTCCAACGGTAACTTCCGGTAGGGAGACGGAAGTGTAAATGGTCACCTGATCTCTCTGGTCTCTATCTTCTCTGGTCTCTCTAGCACTGTCTTATATCGTAGAGGGATCAGTCCATTCTTAGTCAGAAGGTCGGTGCGCACCAACACAATGTAAGATAGAATGCAAGGGAGGGGAAGGGAGAAAAATATTGAGAATAATATAATATATTAATAATATAACAATAATGAAAGGATGGGCTAAACAATATTGGAGGAAATGTAAGTTAATAATGGTAGAGGGAATGCCGAAGGGGTAAAAGAAAAAAGTTAATAGTAAGGGGAGAGGCAAATAAGATATTTAAGGGGGTGAGGAAGAGGAATGTTAATAATCAGGGGAGGGCATCTCAAGAGTAGAGGAAATATAAGGGAGGTCCTCCTCCCTTATATTTCCTCTACAAAAAGCAAAAAGTGGAAGGGCATGCAAGAGTAGGAGGAATTTAAGGGAGGGGGAAATATATTGATAATAAGAGAAAGGGCAAAGGAAGAGTAGAGGGAATTTAAGGTAGGCTGAGAAAGAAAAAAATATATTTCCTGATATCCCGACTACATGAATTTAAGTGTGTTACTAGATTGGCAATTAGGTCTCACCGTTTTACTGTTGAACTAGTTAGATGCAACACCCACTTCTAGCCTGGCAGTTTCTTTTCTTGATTCCCTGATGACTGCAATCTGTAAAAATTTAAGTTCCACGTAAAATACTATTTTCTGTCCCTGTCCTTTTTGGCCCTTTCCTCAATCGTCCCCATTCTCAGTCTTCTCATTCTGCTTGACTTTCGCTTCGTCCAACCCCCCTGCGTTCTAGTGGTGATAACGCCTTTTTAAAAAAAGAAAGAATAGACAGACAGATAGATAGATAGATAGATAGATAGATAGATAGATAGATAGATATTCAATTTCAAGATGTTTCTTTATGGTTACACTATCCAAAACGAATCATCTTCTCTACCAACTGCGAAATGTTGGCATAATTTAGCAAAATACCATCTGAATTCAAATAGCTACTTTCTTACATATCTATCTATCTATCTATCTATCTATCTATCTATCTATCTATCTATCTATCTATCTATCTCAGTTCACTTTATCTCTTTCTCTCTCTCTCTCTCTCTCTCTCTCTCTCTCTCTATCTATCTATCTATCTATCTATCTATCTATCTATCTATCTATCTTCATTATCATTTGATCAATTTTAGGCTGGTTAAAAAAAAATCTAAAAAATGTTCTAAAACACGGATATCGACACAAACACGTATATCCAATAATGATAACGTTTTTATATATATATATATATATATATATATATATATATATATATATATATATATATATATATGCTGTGTATATATATGTGGGATTAAGATTTTATATATATATATATATATATATATATATATATATGTGTGTGTGTGTGTGTGTATCTATATATATATATATATAAAATATATGCATACATATATTATATATATGTGTGTGTGTGTGAAAGACACACTACCGTCCGATGCCCTTAGATATATTAGAATATTAAAATCTGTTTCGTATTAGTTATAATACCAACTCTTATCCGAATTGAATAATAAAGATTCATGTTTCTGCACACACACACACTATATATATATATATATATATATATATATATATATATATATATATATATATATATATATATATATGTATGTATGTATCTATATCTGAGAAAAATTGCGATTGAAAATTGATACAGATGAAATACATTGTATAAATCAAGCAGACATCTCTCGGCGTTATAGCCTGTTTCGATTGTCTATTGATTTATAGCTTAGGTAGATAGGAAGTCAAATACGCACATATACATGTACATGAACGGGAATAGACTTGCGGTGATAAAAAAAAATGCTATGCAATTGAGAAAAGTATCTTCTTACATTATGACCAGTTTTAATAGTTTATTGATTTCACACTATGACCAGTGGGCTCGCGCTCAAACACACACACAAACACGCACAGACACAGACACACACAAACACGGGGACACACAAACAAACAAACATACACAAAAATAAATTTGAAAAGAAAGTGATAGATTTAAAAATATACGTACAGTTCAATTATAAAGATATTGGGGGGGATATATACATTTATCTATGTGTGTGTTGGTGTAGAAATAGCACACTTGTATTTATAAGGGTGTGCCGAAATATCTGATTGTGTAAATGTAATAATTTTGTAAAAAGATGAAATACTATTTATTACTTAATGGGAAATTTTACTGGGATGATAAAACATCAAATGAATTTTATTACTTATATTTTATTTATTTTTTCCTATCAGTCTTGTTTTGTTCTAATCATGGTTATTTTCTTCATTTTTATTCTTATTAAATATTCTAGGTTCTTATATATATATATATATATATATATATATATATATATATTCTGAAGGAAAATATAAAATAATTGCAATACCCTGGAGGGCAATTTTGAATTTGATCCTGTTATTGGATATATATAGGAAGGGTAGTAGAGATTCTAATAGAAAACATTCATTTGATATAGTAACATTCATAGCAGCACATCGTCTGTATCTGGGATTTGGTAGTGAACCATAATGAGATTTTTGTTTTTATTAATCACCCAATATAAGGCCCAAGAGCCACGCACGGTAGAATCTCGCTGAATGAGGCGTGTGATTTGAATGCAAGAGGCGGTGTTAGGTGATGAAGGGTATGGGGATAGTTTAAATAGATAACGATTCATGAGATAATTCACTGTGAATTTTCAAATTTTTAGGAAATGTTCACCCAATATATGTACAAGAGCCACTCAAGGTAGAGGGTCATTGAATGAGTTTGTTGTAAGTGTATACAAATATGGAGTAAAAGGTGCGAATTTTAAGGTTATCTATGATAAATAATTGTTCACCTACACTTGAATAGGTTAAGATTTTAGCGATCAGTAAAGTATCCCCTGGGGAGATTCTTCCATAAAATAGCGGTTTTAGGGGAAAAAAACCCTGTTTGAGTGAAACTTCCTTCATACCAATGGAATACGAAGGGGGTAAGACTGATTCGACCCTGTGTAGATGGTTCGAAGCGTTCTCGTTGTGAGGAGTTCAGTACAAGGTTGCATTATGCCATGCGTGGCAATTTTTTTCGGGCAATAGGTTACCATTTCTTTCTGTGGTAAACCAGTGTATATCCAAGGCTATAGAATCCGGTCTGTCCTGCTATTTACCCATAGTTGAGGGGAGAAAAAGAGGATTCAGACATTTCCCAAGAGTATTAGCACAAGTGAATTTAATGAATTATTCTCCTTTGAGAGTCATTTGAGTTCCAGAGAATCGCTGGTCATATTAAACGCAACACGCCATTGGTGTGTTTATACTGTCAACAGCGGTAGAACGAATATTCCTACACTGATAGGCCAGTTTCTGGACGACTACCTGTTACAGACACTTGCCAAGATTAACGCATTTTAAAGGCAGCTGCAGAGCAGAGCAAATAGGGTCCCTGAAGTGTCAGTACGAACAGTTGAGAATCGTTTATTTACCGTAAGAATACGGGAACGAGGAGCTCCGACCAGATTTCCATTTACACCACAAGATTGTCGCGTACATCTCCACTGGGGTCACGAAAGGTTCACGTATGGGTCGGATAGTGATTAGAATAGTTTATGTCTTCATGGAAATGACGATCGTTTGCATGTTTGACATACACCTGTAGAGCGACATATTCCACTGTGTTTTTACCCAAGTTATCCAGATCCAAATACGTGGCATAATTTTGTGCTGGGTCAAATCAATCTCGCTAGCATTTGTTGTTTTAGAGGGAATGTTGAACAACGCAATCACATTATCGTTCCACCGGTTTCCCGACCATTCTTTCTTTCTTTCTTTCTTTCTTTCTTTCTTTCTTTCTTATTAGCTAGACAAGTTTCTTCATAATCTATCTATCTATCTATCTATCTATCTATCTATCTATCTATCTATCTATCTATCTCAGTCTGTTCGTATCTATCTATCTATCTCAGTCTGTTCGTATCTATCTATCTATCTATCTATCTATCTATCTATCTATCTATCTATCTATCTATGTAGAAAAAGAAAACATATGAGCAATGCACCGTGCCTTGCTTAGGTTTTAATTATGGTTTAATTAGACGGCATCAGTTGCCACTGCAATGAAAAGTGAAATTAAAGATAAACTTTTAATAACGAATTGCTTTTTAAACCTTTCACTCTGTTCGATATTTAAATTCAACTTTAAATGTGTTATTTATCTGTCTATATTTCTGAGATGAGGTATTATGTACACTATTTACATTGCTCGGACTATCATCCTCATCTTTGTTGCCATATTTATTACAACGTTTCGGCCATTTTACGCTTCGGCCTTCTTCACGTGGTTGGAATGTCGAACTGAACCTTTTATTTAATTTAGTTAATACCTGTTAATACATGTTGTTTAGGATTCTCCCAGATCGAAAAACGAACGGACGGACATACGTACACTGCGCTTTATTTATATAGATCTTTAAACATTTTACTAAAACATTAAAAAATGTGAACTCTTAGGGAATCCCTATTATTTACCATTTTATAAATTTCGAATAAATTGGCAATTAACCAATCATTAAAATAAATACCACAATAAATATATAGTGTAAATAGACAGTTTAATACATAGTGTTTATTATTTTGTTGTCAAGTGTCAAGAACAAAGTAAATATTTAGCTTTTATTACAATTTTAACCATCGTTTTTTAAAACAATAAAGATTGCTTATGAGTGAAGGTAGATAAAATAATAGCGGTGTCAAGGGAAAAACAGTGTTTTTGACGCTCTGTTATTTTGTGGGCGCGAAGGTTAAAGTTTACCTAATAGTTATTATGATTATCAATAAATAAAACGTTTACAATACTTATCAATAGTCAATAATATGTCATATTATGATCAATGCTACAAACGTCTTATCTGACCCTAACGAACGACAACAACGGGAAACATGTCCCGAATAAGTACAGCGAACATTTAATACACACACACACACACACACACACACACACACACATATATATATATATATATATATATATATGAATAAAAAGGAAAGAAAAACTTATTCGTCTAAGTAAAAAAGTAATACGCGTAAGTAAAAAATATTAGGTTCTCCAAACTTTTAAACTTAACGATCAAGAATTTTCTTAAGTTTAATTTGAAATCAAGGTAATCCATGCTAAGCGATGTAACTGAAGACCTAATAAATGAAAGTTAGTAAATGTTGTTAAATTTTTAATTTTCTTAGTCATTAATTAACTAATGTTTTTATATTAATGTAAATAATATTTTATATTAGATGCAGTATTTATGCATTTGTTTATTTTAAATAATATATAGAAGCTTTTGATTTAAGATGGCCTGAAGATTATGCACAAGATATGAAACAGATTATCCCAGCTTGAATTTTGAATATGTATATATATATATATATATATATATATATATATATACAACTTTTGATAAAAAAAGCTGTATTTAAGAAAAAAAAAGGCTAAATCAATGAAAAAGTGCTAAAAATAATTGTCATAAAACGAAAATATTGAGCAATTTTGGACATAAATTATTTTATACACACACAAACATATATATATTAATTAGACGTTATTTTATTGGTTACGCGTATTTGAGCATATTTTCTGTTTTAATTTATTAAGCAGCATATTTATTTATTTTCATCTACCGCCTGAGTACTTATTTTTCTAATAAGATTTCTTGAATATTGAACTCGTTACATGAAAATAAATAAATATACTATTTAATAATTAAAACAGGCCATGTACTCAAATACGAGTATCTTCTAAAATAGCATTTAAGTTATATATATATATATATATATATATATATATATATATATATATATATATATATATATATATATATGCACATTCTTCCGTCGTGATTTCGATCTTTACTGAGAGTACCACACTTTTATCTTTGAAACCGGACCGCCGTATGATTCACAGTTTCATTGAGAATTATTTTGTCTATGGTATTTGTGCACGTGTGCATCCCAATGGTCAGCCCAAATTCGAACTTAGGATACCAGTTCTGATCCCGACCCTTACATCTCTCTATCTTTCTCTCTCTCTTTGTGCTATGCCCCTTCACGACATTGTCGATCATGTTTCTCCACAACTTTCTTTGCTGCTATCAGAAATAATTTCTCCTTTATAACACCTTTTTGTCTTTATAGTACTTTTCCCGCTTCCATTTTCTCAAATTTCTCAAGGACGTTACTCACTGCTTTCCTCTTCTTCTCCTAACTTCGATACGCCCTGTCAGTGTTAAATTCTCCAAGCCTCAAAATCTCAAAATATGAGGAAGATTATTGAGAAGTCTGTTGTAGTATTGAGAATTTCTCGTTATAGCCTCCATATACTAGTGTGGAATCTTTCACAACAAACCAGCCTTACCTATTTTTAGGAAATGCACTCTTCCTATCTGGTAAGTAAAATTCTACTTTCATACAATATAACAAGTATTCATTGGTCAATCACCTCCAATCTAGCTTGCTGATTGGTCAGTTCCGACCAATCAAACCACCTGCACGCGACCAATCTGTTTTCCCGCTCATATGCTAGGAGCCACTTGACCATTATATAAACCGAACACATGTGAACTTTTTGAGTAGTAGTTACCAAGTGCCAAGATGTAACCTTCACCGACTCCCGTCTTAGTCATTGCTGACCAGACGTTAAAGATAATTACCAACATTCACGAACTCTGAAATCACTCCTGAAATTTTACCAACTTTGCAAACTCACAATTCCAAACTTTCTTAATATGAACTCAGGTACAACTAATACCTAATCAAAGGGACACGACTCTGTCCTACCTTTTCAGTTCGCATTCATGTACATCAAACATTAATAAATCTAATTGTTATGTTTTGGAATCATTCAGTTCAGTTTTGTATTTTACTCTATGTGCTATTTACGTCAAGTATAAATTGCATTGCATTTCACGCATTGTCCTTAATCTCATCTTTCCTAGCCCAAGTTAAATATTGGCAACTCAATCACTACAACGATGATAATACAACAGTTACATATTTGATGATCCCGTCGGAAATAAACAACAATGGTAACCCTATCACTACACTATTATTTGGAAAAGTCAGCATTTACGACAGAAGATAATAGTCTTACTTTTAGCATAATCATTCCTCCATTGTCAAACCTTGTGCCAAACAAAGGTGAGCTTACTAAATATCAATAATAACTGCAGTGTCTCCATTATCATCGCCACGGTTAAAAAATCTTGACTCTTGTCTACACCATTATTTTCAAAGTAATTATCTGAATGTACTGAGGCCTAATGAATATGGCTGTTTCGCATTATTGCAAATGTCTGCTATTTTGTCGGTCTTCGCTTGACTGCTAGCCATATCGATAAATAAACTAAACTCTTGAAAAATAGATTAAAAATACGACCATCATTTTCACATATGTGTCTGCCTCCATGTGCTGTCTTGTCTCTGACAATCAATTTGATAGGCTATCATTGTGTCTACAGAGATGTACCATTTGTCATCTATCTATCTATCTATCTATCTATCTATCTATCTATCTATCTATCTATCTATCTATCTATCTAGTGTGGCCTTAAGGTATTCATCTTTTGCATTTGTGATTGTTTTAAAAATATATTCTTATTGAATAAATACTTTGTCCTCCGTCGGATCTCATAGAATGACAAAGAATTTTACCAAATGACATAAACCACATCACTTGAAGACTCCCAATAGCCGTCACATCTATAAAGATAGCACAGGTAAATCAAAGAGAAAATGACATGAACGTGATATCGACTTTCTACCCTACTTTAAACAAAAGTTTAGAAAGAAAACTCCCATGAATACCAGAAAGAGCTGGTGGACATGAGAAACCTAAACCTGAAAAATTGTTTTATAAGATTCAACCGACATTAATACTGTATCTCGCTGACTCATGTTGTTTTGCACTTTCTCTTCAGCAAAACTTCCTTCACTATCTTCTTTTAACTCCAGTAACTCCTTGCATTGTAGTGGCTTTATTGCCTTGTTTAGGGTAACATTTTTAATTCATTTACAGTATTAATAATCTAGGAAGCAAGTTTTCTTTTTTCTCACAGTTTCAAAATTAAAATCATTAAGTCAATGATATTAATAACAATGATATTCTCGTTAAATATTTTTACATGATCAAACAGTCCGAGTTTTGTGTCGTAATTAGTAGGAATAAACACATCTGAAGATTTTGGCAAAGGTCATTCTTGTTTGAATAATATGGACAATTATTAACAAAGCTACACATGTTATTAGCTTTTCAAATTTTTTTAAGTTTAAGAATCGCTCATAAATATTCATCAGGTAAACTGAAAAGTCGAGGAAAATTCAAGCACGACTTTAATCTAAAGAATGCCACATTTTTAAAAAAAGAAAATAACTTCTTAGTATGATGGAAAATAAGAGGAGAGTGTTGCTGTCGAATTTTATCAAAGTATAAATCTGGGTTCCGGATTTTTTTCAAACATCTCCTTTCCTGAAAGAATAACTCCTTTCCTAAGCCAACATACATGACTATAAAAAGATAAAAAAAATTAAAAGAAAACGATTACATACACAACCTCCTTTCATTTAAAAGATATAATATATAAATCCCAAACTAAAATAATATAATTATTAATTATAAAAAAAAACAATCAAACAACATCATTTACTCACTTTTGTTTATTCAGTATTAAATTACGTCACTTAGCATCCTTCCTTATTTACCAAGGTTTTTCAACGGATTACTATTTATGAACGTCTCTTGAATCTAAAAATTTTGAAAAATCAACAACATTTTACTTTTCTTTATAAATACTTGTTGCAAAATAAAATCCTTAAAACATTGTCTCGATAAAGTTCATCAGAATACGGAACGCATAGGCGAAGAAAAATTTTCTTTTAGTCTTTATTCCAGAACTGCCTCAACTAACAAATCCTTTCTTCATTTGTGCTTGACTAACAAAGTCTGTCCTCCTTTTATTACCTTTAGAATAAAAAGAGCTAATCTACGTCCAGGTCAGACAATTGAAGATGCTTTTATTTCCGACTTTATATCTAATCTCTCTTATAGTTTTGCCAAATTATATAAGAAATATTATCAATTTTGGAAAAAGTAATATGGGTCTACTTTCCTATTTTGATAGGATTCGTTTCGTTTGTTATGCTGCATTTGTTCATGAGCGCAGTCATTCTCAACTTGCGACTAAACATCAGAAGAAGTTGTAGGATTTGATTTATAAAAAAAAAAAAAAAAAATGGGTTTTCTGCAAATCCTAGTGTTGGTCAGAATGTTCTGAATCTTTCTTCGTCTCAGTTGTCCATGCTAGAGCTCTCGATACTCACGCATGGATTGGATTTTTGTGCTTTCCCCTTCGCATATTAAGCGAGAAGAAATTTAGTCAGAGTTTTAAGATTTGCTTTGCCAGATAGCCAAACTCCAACCTGATTCTGTTATCAAGATTAGTGACCATAAAGCAATGTTAAACGACATAGCGTATTCTTACGCTGGTACTCCTATTGCCTTTTGTGAATCAAAGTAGAACAAAGAACAATATCATGTAATTAAATCACTCCATCGTAATAAGTCTTTGGTAATTACGAAACCTGATAAAGGCTCAGTTGTTGTCATTCTTGATTATCAAGTATATGTAAACAAGATGATGACTGTTCTTAAAGACTCTTCTAAATCTGTCCAGTTAGGCCCAATAGATAAGTTTGATTCTACATTATCTATTGAGGCTAAGTTCGAAAAACGTCTAGTCAAGTGGATTAAAAGTGGCAGTATGCCTATTGGCATTTCTAATTTAATTAGACCCTCGTGTTCTATTCGTCAGCGTTTCTATGGTTTACCCAAAACGAATAAGATTGGGGTTCCATTAAGACCTATTTTGTCCATGTTAGTGTCTTCTCAACATAGCGTGGCTCAAAGGCTTATCACCATATTACATCCAGTTTTGGAACGGTATAATTCTTCCTGTATTAAAGAATCGTTTGAACTTTCTGACTTTATACAGCTTTATCGGTCGACTGACAAATTTATGTGTTCCTACGATATTTCTAGCTTTTTTACCTACGTCCCTCTCACTGAGACTATTGATATATGTACTTATGCCTTATATCGTAGTCAATTGTGCCGTCCTGTTATTCCTGGGGATGGTTTTGTCGAACTGATGAAATTTGCCACGATGTCGGTTGAATTTAGTTTCGCCGGTGTCATGTATAGGCAAATTGATGGTGTCTCAATAGGTTCCCCTTTAGGACCCATTTTAGCTAACATCTTTTAGGATTCGATGAAGAGTGTGTATTTTCTAAATATAATAAACCTGATGTTTACTTCCGTTGTGTGGATGACACTTTTTGTCTCTTCAATAACGAGACTGAAGCGGACCATTTCCTTTTGTCCCTGAATAATATTCATCCAGCTCTCAAATTTACACAAGAAAAGGAAAATTAATTCTTCCCTTCCCTTCCTTGATGTTTTGGTCAGCAGAATTGCTTCGGATTTTATTACCTTTGTTTATCGAAACCCGACATTTACCGGTTTGTATACCCGCTGGGACTTTCTTTGCCCCGTAAAACGTAAAATCAATTTAATTAAGATCTTTACTCATAGGGTCTTAATGATGTGCTCTAAAAACAAACTAAATGATGAACTCAAGTTTATTACCACTACCCTTTGTAACAATGCCTATCTGTTAGGCATTGTTCAATCAGTAATTAAGAACACAATTTCGGAATTCAATAAAGTTAAACCAGCTATAGTGCAAAGATGCCCCGTGTACCTGCGCCTTCCTTGCCTGGGTAGTATCAGTGGTAGATATGCCAAGCGTGTTTCTTTAGCATTTTTGCTGCTAACACTCGTGTAGCTTTTTCTGCCAAACATATCTTTCCATCCGCGAGGAAAAACGTTCTTCCTTCACATCATAATAGTTCTTTGATTTATTTATTTAAATGTATTTGTGGTGCACTCGGAGATCTGACTTCGAATTCCAGTCGAATCCATTACATTCACTTGTTGGAATTTTTGGGTACCCTGGTGTACTAGTGAGCCAGCCAAAATGAGCTGACTCATTTTATAGTTCACCAATAAAAGGGTTAACCAATCAGAAGGCTCAAAATATTCAATGCGACGTGTATAAAGGTGGCCATGTTTTTCCCGAATATTTACTGCCGGCCTTTTATATCGAAGACTGAAGAATTACGGAACAGCTGCTGGTGGTATTGGCCTGACTCGTGAGTGTTAATCTTTAACGTTGTTTCATTGAACTTATTACGTACTGCGCTGTATTCTATATTCATAGACTATGGTGAACATGGTCAACATCACTTACGTGCTAATACCCTTGGGAAATGTTTGAATCTTTTTCTTCTTCCTCCAGCTATGGTTAAATAGCAGAACAGACCAGTTTCTATAGCCTTGGATGGCAACTGGTCGACTGCAGAAAGAAATGGCAACATACTGCGGGAACAAATCAGCCTCGTCAGTCATGTATCGAATAATACATGATCGGCTAAGCGTGCATCACGCATGGCACATAACTGACTGTGGTTCACACTAAATAGGAAGAACAACTCAAAGACTGGATATCAGAATAAAAGAACATATACTAACAAAAATCCGAAATCTTAAGTATTCTCCGTCAGACATTTTGAAAAACACATCCGGGTCTTACATCGCGGATCACCTAATAAATAACCATAATTGTGCCGCTAATTTCAGTGTGGACTTTTTTACCATCCTTAGTAAGTCCCACTCAAATTACCACTTATAAATATAATTAGTATATATATATTGTATTGTGGAATCGCAGAGCCAAGTTCGAATCCGGTTTGAATCCATTACATTCACTTACGTGCTAATACCCTTAGGAAAGGTGTGAATCTTATTCTTCTCCCTCCAGCTATGGGTTAAATAGCAGGACAGACTGGGTTCTATAGCCTTGGATGGCAACTGGTCTAGGAGAAGGACAACTCTGAATTCAAAACCTGAGGGGTGTTGTTTGGGGACCTTGTGGCACGTAGTGCACCAGGTCTCTGTATTCGGCCCTTCAAAAAGTGTGGATGGTCCTGCACGAAACCTTCACCACTATAATCAAATCTCATGTGCCGGTGTCGGGCTGTCAGTTTCCTGGAAACTGATCTGCTTGACCCTCATACGTCGAACCCGACGGGAGAATCGATATATATATATATATATATATATATATATATATATATATATATATGCACTACAATTCGAAAGTTTGAACCACCCCCAGATTTATCATGGGATGAACTTGACAGAAGAGTGAAACCTTTCCATCCAAAAAATGAAAAACCGCTCTAAGATCTCTAAAGATTGGAAATCATTATGACTCTTATACTTTGAGAAACTTTTGCAATGGATGCCAAAGATTTGTGCTGCATTAATCAAGGTTAAAAGAGGATATTTTGATGACAGCAAAACTTATAATAATTTTCTCTTATTTAAACTACAACTACTACAACTACTACTACTACTTTTGGGCCAATTTTAAAAAAATTACCAGAGGTGGCCTCAAACTTTTACGCTGTAGTATACATATATA